AACGGGAGAGCGGGGCTGCCTCCAGTGAAGGCGGTCCACGAGTGGAGAAGAGCGAGACTCATGCTTGAGTGAGCATTCCGTCTCAGTGAGAGAGTACTCTCTGCGTGGGGTCTGCCCAGACAGATGACATACTCATTGCTCTTCTGCATCGTGCAAGTTTCCCTGTACGAGCCACACTCGCAGAGCGACATTTGCAGCAGCGTCGCTAAAATTAGCTCTTTTAGAATCGCCGGATGGAGGCAGGGAAAACGGACCAGAACTGCTGCGTCACTGTAGCGGCAGAAAAGCAGGTCAGGTGTGCTGAGAGGTCCCGATTCCAGCTGCGAAGGCGTGTCAATGGCGAGCAGGCTTTCAGGATCAGCGATGAGCATAGAGTCGTCGCTGAAAGAGAAAAAATCTGAGAATCCTGTGGCGAGCACCCGCTTATATAGCCAGATGCCCCGCCCATTCTGGCGGGCTTTGGCGGGCTTTGGCGGGCTTCGTCGCCATTAGTTCGTTTTTTCAGCTCTGCACGAATCAATGGCCATGCAGTTTCACTGCGTGAATGAAAAAAGGCTTCAGTTCAGGAGAAAAAAGGCTTTTTCCCATATGCGTCTTAAGCAAGACGCAGTACGAGTGAAGTATCGAAAGGGAACAAACTGTATCCACTGTTTACATAACACTGGGTTCTTTAGGAAGCTGAACAAAGTTATCTTTCCCTTACAACCAAAAACACACTTCTTTGGATTGGAGACATTCTTCCTGAGCAAGTCCTGTGCAGCGCTGCCGCTGGATGAAACGCGTTGATGGGCGCGATCTCGCTCTTGCTCTGGTCGATGCGTGCGCGGGCGCGTTCTTCCGGGAGACATGCCCATATAAGGAGTTCCACCCTCATTTACGTCATTAAGAGCCACAATCGAAAAAAACTCTCCGAAACTTGTACGCACCCGGAAGTAAGATTTTTGGCACAGAAATACTCTGTTTTTCAAAGTTTTTTAAAACTTTGTCCATGCTTAGCATGAGAATCCAATTCACAACAGTGTAAACAACTCTGAATGCATGAAACAGCATTGTACCCCCCCCCCCCCTTAAAAAACAGCTACAGGCTTAATGGAATAATTCATTCAAAATGAATGCAAAACATGAATATTATTTCAGATGTTTTATACGAAAGAATAAAAAACAACATTGGATTCCATTGACTTAAATTCAACTATAACAAACTATCCCTTTACTGGAGAAGTTGATGAATGCCTTTAGATGTATAAATAGCAAATATATATGTAGTGCTGTCAGATGTAAAATATTTTCTGTCATGTGGTTAATATTGATGTTCTCATGGTTGTGGGAACTCCTCTGAATAAGCTGTCAGATCAGTTTCATGCAGACACACTATATTCATGATCACAAACGGTTTTTGAGAAGCATGCAATAACTTTATGATGGATTTCACAATTTGAGATTGCGTTTCCTCCATTTCATATTGCTCTAATATTGCTTCCTATATTTTACTCCTTCATAAAATGAGAAAGATCCCTAGAGAACTTATCTAATGCGATCATACGGTCTTCACAACACTACTTTATGTAACACTTTAGAATTGGACAGCATATGAACATACACTACACAAGTTTGGGGTCTGTAAGTAATGTAGCGAATTTAGCTCATGGGGAAATATGAATAATTAACCATAACTAATTATGATTAATTATTAATATTTTAGATCCACTGTAGATATTTAGCTGACCACTCAGGGTCAACCGTCTTGTCAATTCTAAGAACGTTAATTTCCTGGTTAAAGGAAATAACTTTCTTACTGTACAATTCTATAAGTTTGTAACATAAATCTGCATGATTATTGACTACAGTAAAAATGATTTATTCTGAGACTCATTCTGACATTTATAATGTTACAAAAGTTATTTATTTAAAATAAATGCTCTTTTGATCTTTCTGTTCATCCAAGATACCTAAAAACAAATGTATCACGATTTCCACAAATACATTAAACAGCAAAACTGTTTTTAACATTGATGATATTAATAAGAATGTTTTGTCCAGAGCACCAAATTAGTATATTAGAATTTCTAAAAGATCATGTCACACTGAAAACTGTATATTGTAATAATATTTCACAATATATAGAATTTTTCCCCAATATATGGAGCCTTGGTGAGCATAGGAGACTTCTTTTAAAAAGAAAAATAGTGTGTGTTCCATCATACAGCTATTGTGACGCCTCTGGTTTGCCCATTGAAACTCTATCCATGTACTGTCCTGTCACTGTATGCTGATCTATAGTGCCCACATTCCATAGGCAGTGTGAGTGTGTGTGGAACAGATAATTTAAGAGACCACAAATGAGTGTGTTACCACTAACCCCTGGTTAAAAAATGTCTCAATTAACAATCTGAAGTGTGAAAGCCCATATGTGTGCAAGAAAATAGCTAAGAACAATTTTATTAGTGTGTAAGCCCTTTCATGAAAACTGCAAGCAAATACTCAAAGCTACTGACAAAATCTGTACTGAGCTGCCTTCGGCTATTTGTGCGAAAAATTGAATATCTGAAAACACAAATTTCTTCCAGCTGAGCCTTGTCAAACAATGGAGAATTACAGTATTCATGGCGACGTGTACAGCCGTGGCAGCTAGTCCATTACATAACGGAAATGCCAGCTTAATTGCCCATTAACACAAGCTGCAGATGGCATTGAATGTTTGTCACACTCAAGTGCACCCAGAGGGCTTTGCACTAATATTGCCAGTAACTAATCAGGTGCTCAAAGCTGCAGCTGTGGATTAGAATATAACATTTTAAGGTTGGATGGACAGGACTTGATTTTACCCATCGGGAATTGGATTGTAAAAAAGGTTGGAGTCACATATGAAACCAAATGGATGATGGGGAGGAGTAGAAAAATAAGGAAAATGTATGTATTCTTGTAAATTATATTGTAGTTTGTATGGTTAATATTAATGCAATTGTGAGCAATTGAAAAGTTAACAATTTGGCCCACGCAAGAGGACATTTCTCTAATCCAGCCCTCAACCTAAAATGAGTTTGACCCCCATGATATAGTGTATGAGTATTTTTTTAAATATGCAATCCAATCTCATGAGATAACGATACTGTTTTACTTTTTTCTGAATTGGTGGCAAATTTGTATAACTGAGCATGAAAGTCCACCCCAAAGCCTAACCCTCAGTGGAGCGTAAGAAGATTATATGAAAATGTATGAATAAGGTTATTAAGAATTCACCACCGCTTCACCAAAACCTAAAATAGTGGGTTGGAAATAGGACAACTTCATAGTAAAACAGTAAATTGGTACTGGATTGCGCAGATGATCCTTGAATAGTCTGTGTTTTGCTTCCATTTCTTGATGACCCAGAGATTCATTCTTTTTAAAGATGCTACAGACTATTATTAGTGCTTTTAGTGTCTTTATTTTGGGCCCACCAAGTTAGGGAAGAACCTCCATGGCATTAGCTGGGTCACACAGCATTTTATGAAAATACTTCTAGAGTGTTCCTCTACTTTCTGCATTCGTTTCAAGGTATAGGGGACAATTGAAAAGTACAAATCAACTTAGTGAATGTATTGAGATTTGTTTTCGGCAGTCTATGATCTGACATTTACGCTATAGGGTGTCAGCTTCATCTAACCAAGACTTTATTAATTTAATATGGCAAGTTAAAAAAGTTTAATGGTTAAAAAGTTATATGGAATTCTGGGTCACATTACACTCTAAAAATTAGGACAACAATTGTGCCATAGCTTAAGTTACTGAGATTCAAATAGTGTTGACAATGTTTTCACTCCCCGAGTGTAGAGTGTTTCTCCTGGCTAGTTATAAATCTGTCAGTGGCAAAGGGATATCTGACAACTGGATCTTATTTTTATGTCTAAATGCTCTCTCTCTCTCTCTCTCTCTCTCTCTCTCTCTCTCTCTCTCTCTCTCTCTCTCTCTC